ACACATTGTAAGAAACCTTGTTAGCAATGACAGACCAATTAAACCCCAAACAAGCAAACCGAGAATGAGTAGCTTCACCATGGCCACTGAGATAACACAGTTTTTGTGACCATTTCCTTAGGACTTCAAATCAGAACACTTCTGAATGTGCATTTACAGAAGACTGTACGAAATATTGGTCATTATCAACAGAGTTTAAGCTATCCAATTTCACCACAGCCTAGTTAAGCAGAACACTATATTTAACCCATGCAGTTGTTATAGCAGTTCACATACCACCAAATGAGAGACCAGTACAACACAAAAGCGAGCTCAGCCCAACTAAAGAAGCTTGAAGACTGACTAAGCATACAAATGCGGATGGCCCCCATCAAACTGGAGAGCGAGGTCAGCAGAGTTGCAGCACAACGGTGTTTAATCTGCATGTCCTTCTGGTCCAAAAAAGAAAAAAAGTAGGAGGGTCAAGAGGAAAATCATTTATTGAGTACATTCCTTAGTAAATCTTGGATTCCCTGTGCTTTTCTCAGCACTAACATTTTTCCAAATGGGATATTTACATAACAAGGCAAATACTTCACATGGAGCTCAAATGCATTGGTTTAGTGAGGTGATTCAGTGCTGGAGGAAAGCAGCTGACTGGACTTCCTGAGAGATGGTAGGCTTCCCACATGGCAGGTCCCTTCAGGGTAACACTGACCTAAAGTGACTGTTAATCTTTTGCTCTCTCTTAACTAACTTCGAGTGGTGTTTAGTAGAATGGGATTGGCCGGGAGTTGGGTAGAGAAACAGTTGTTTATCCTACACTTCGCATTGCAAAGGGCCTTCCAAAGTAGCCAAAAGAATTAAAGCCCACCGTTAGGATGGCTGGTAGTATTAAGGTAAAAAAAAAACTAAAGAAAGCCTCAAATTCACTGCCACTGAGTCAATTCTGAGCCATCAGAACAGGAGCCATGAATTGTCTTCAAAAGGTAGTTTAGGAAGCAGGTTTAGAAAGCAGGCTCTAAGAAGAGAAAGAACCACCACTGTCTACTTGCACTTTAAGGACTTTGGCTGGCTCGTCACTTGCTGTATCTCAATACTGTTGGAGTGTAGGACAGTGGAACAGTCTGCCCATCTTGTCTCAGGGCAGAGGAGGGACCCAGACTCTGGTGGAAAGTGTGAGCTCATGGGCCAGGGCAACTCAAGCTGGAGCACACAGTAAGAGAGATGCTCAGGTCTGTTCCATGGTGGGCCAGGCCAGCTGAGGTCTCCCAGTAGGCCCGGAGGGCACAGGGCAGGGACTGGAAGAAAACAAGTCTCCAATGCACTGCGTCTCCTTGGTGTGGGGCCTCACTGGGGAAGTGCTGGTGATGTACTAGGTTATACCACAAGGGCAGCAGCAGCTTTCTACCCTCAGAAGATGGTAAAGTCTTGGAAACCCAAAGAGGCAGCCCTGCTTTCAGGGTCTGAAGCTAGAATAGACTCCATAACACTGGGTCGGGTTTTATCGCATTGCTATTTTCCCCTGGCATGATGATTGGATGCCAGAAGTCAATGACACAACTCCGAGAGTTCAGTATAAAACAAAGAAACTCTGTTTCCAACCAACTTCCCAGAAGTCCTGCTACCTCCTGTGTGAATCAAAGGGAGGCTGCACACCACTGTGCTCAGAGGGCCCGATGTGCTCCCTGTGAGGAGAGTCCACATGCGGTGGTGGATGGTGAGGCCACGCTGGGTGCTGGGTCACCTGCACCAAGTGGCAATTGCTGGTAGCATCACAGGACAGCTACACACGGGCACAGGCACCTGACAACTTCACCGTGTCATCCAATGTCACTGTGCCAATTTACATCCAATGAGATTTCATTGTAAACTGTCTGCCTCCATTTTTCCATTTCCTTAATACACCTGCATCACACATGATGGCGCTTCAAAAATTTAAGGAATTGAAAATAATTTTCCCATGAACTCTTTAAAGCCCTTTATCGTGTGTGTGTGTGTGTGTGTGTGTGTGTCCGTACAGATACATACATATGATGAATGACTCTCAGGATAACAAGGGAGGCATTTCAAAACATTTGGTATGAAAACAGCAGGGGTGGAATCTGGGTCTGTCCTCGGTGTCCAGGAGCTGCTGTGAGTCAGAACAGAGTGACCAGTGAAGACTTTGCAGGAAGGACAAGGCTCAATTAGTCTCCATGGTTTTCATCTCAGGACTCAGTTGTAGTCAGTAAGGTTCCTACACTAACGTCTCATAGTAGCTTGCTTACCTTCTTCCAAATAAAGAAAGGAGAGATTTGGTGAACAACTAGAGAGGCTCTGACTTCCCTGGTGACGGTACACAGGACAGTAAAAAGGCACGCTTAGAACAATAAAATTCCTGCCTGGACAAAGGCTCAGGTGCAGGTGAGGTGAACCAGAGAACATAATTTTAAGCCATGGGACTCTGTGTCAAAGGGGATTAAAAGCAGGCGGTGCAGAGCACCGTTTGTCAACTGCCATTACACATCCAGCCACTCTCCATTGTGCTCCTCCTCCTCCTCTCTGTCTCCACCCTGGGACGTGATTAATATTTTACATACTGTCCAAAAGGGGAATGTGGCTTCCCAGAAACAGCACTGAACATTTAAAATACAGATCGCTCTCTGCCAAGAGCAAATCCTGCCCAGCTGTAGATTTCTCATTTGCAAAACATAAGACCAACAAAAATTCCATTACTGAGAGAAGCTGGCTGTTCCACCAAACCCTTGGCAGCAGAAGCTGTACTTATCTTTTTGAACAATGGCCTTAGAAAATGTATTCTCTCTCTCTCTCTCATACACACGCACATAACACACACACACACACACACACACACACACACACACAGAGGCAATAAGTAAGCATCTGAGCACTCAAGAAAATGTTCTTGCCCAAGTAAATCCCTGTTAAGGAAAATTCACTCCCTCCCAATCCGGGGAAGTACTCAGGCAGACGCCAAAACCCATGCATGGCACAAAGAACCCCACATTTAAGAACATTTCACAAAGTCAAAGCCAATGTATCCATTATCAGTCATGTATTTAAACAAAACCAAGTGCCCTGTGCGTATATGAGCTGCCACACTGCACTGGGCCCCTCAAAGACGTGACCCTTAAGCCCCAACTTGTTCAGTTTGTTTCCCCTGTGAGATTTCACTGCACATTTTCGCGAGGATATAAATTATCCTGACATGTCCTGCTTTGTGCTTGGCAGAAGCCATCCAGATGAGTCTGGGAGAGTGAGAAGTTGTTCTCTAACTTCCCAGCACTGGTTTCCCCAAGAGATGCATGTGGCCACATTCCAGTGGGACCCATGAATCTCCCCTCCAGGGTCTCTCCTGGTCACCACTCCCACTCCACCTCAGAGTTTGAATCAAGGCCATGAAAAAATTCTCAGGAAATGCAGACGCTATGCTAATGTGCTTGGAACAACAAACGCCCACTGGTACCAGTGCCGTTCTTCTGGTTTCAATACCTAGGATGCTGTACTAGGGCTATGGTCCATGGGTGAGTTTATTTCGGGAGCTGACATATTATCTTCGATCCTCATAAATTTTTTTTCCTAAAAGAAGAACTAACAAAATGCAGTCCATGCATTTCCTCATTACAAGAGTCCTCGAAGTGGTCCAAAGAACAACAGCAAAAAATTTCCTTTGTAACATACTTTGCAACAAGAGTCCATTCAAGGAAGCAATGGTTAATTCTTCCCCTTTCAACCTCTCAGAGCAACCGACAATGATGTCTAACCCTCTTCCAAAGTGCTGCATGATCAGGCCCAGGGATCTACCACCCTCAGTGCAAATCTATGAAATGGCTACAGGAAGTAAGTAAAACGCTCTGGATACATAATCATCGCCACAGTTATCAACCAGAATATGAACATGTGACGCTGTGGTTCCACAGCATGGGTTTCCGCCTGGGTCTGTCCATAAAATATGAAGGCGCCGTTTCCCTCTTCAACCCTCCTCAAAGACGTCTGACCCCTTCGAGTTAAACTACATGAAACTGCATCCGTGGGCCTTTTCAATTCCTTTGAGTTGATGGAACAAAAAGTCTAAGGTGGCAAGAACAGGGCTATAAAACAGAGGAGATAGGATCTTCCACAGAAATTCTCATAGAATAGCCCTGGTTACCCTCAAAGAATTAGCAAGTGAACTGGTATAATGGGGAGAAAAAAATTGCTCGGATCAACTTTCCTGTTTGGGTTTTTTCTTTTTTTTTCAACTTTCTTAAAAACTTCTTGCTAATAGGCCTCTTTGATTACTCTGTATCCATCTGAAAATCCACCATGAGGAGCTCTGGAATTCCAACGAACAGTTGCATGATCTTCTAAGCCGACCTCTCTGCCCCAGTGACCCTCTCAGAAGTCACCTTTGTGATTGGACCTTTGTGTAAGGCCTCCAAGACCAGGATGAGTGCAGGACCGAGAGAACTTGTCTGCAGCCGTCCACATGGCAGAGCATGTTCAAACACATTTTGTGCATGTACGAACCCTAGCGGCATTATTTTTTTATTTCCTCTCATATAAAACTTTGCAATGGTGTGTGAAGAACTGAAAATGAAGAAGCTGCTGAGGATGTGAGTAACTAGGGCTGCCATGAGCTCTGAGGTCAATAGATGGACGCCAACCTGGGCACAATGGTACCCCGGCAACCAACCTGGACAGTGACCAATTGTACAAGGCCTGTTCCTCTGGTTCTAACTCACACACAACTCTCCGGTGGTCTCAGCTCAGAGCTGTAACTGGAGCACACAAAACGGATGCACGGCGCACAGGAAGAAGCAAATCCTGAACATGCCACACGTCATCTTGCTTCTCTTATGTAACAAAACTCTAACACCAAGGCCATCAACACGCTGACCCCACACAAGCAAAACGTCTGCCTCCTGCCGATCTCCTCCAACAGACGCCTCCCCGCCAGTCCAAACATGCTGCTTCGGGCCAGACGCAGAAGGGACAGCATTCACACCATTACAAGGCACTGGCCAGTGTCCACATACCTCGATAATCCTGTCGTGAATTTGCAGGCCTCCTTCCTTGGCTGCAGGCCCACTGTCAACTACTTTGGATACAAAGATTCCTTCACTGGACGATCCATCTTGGTTGTCCTTTGGGTTTAAAAAAAAATGCACATTCATAAGAGCTAGGCATTAAGCTGGCTATGAAAACAAAGCTTATACTCTTAAAATAACCGTTGACCCTTGCTGGTGTCAAACGCGGTACTGAGATAAAAGCTGTTTCCCCTCATTCTGTTTGCAGCCAACACTAACACAGATTGTCGTCCCAACTCCCGGCACACCCCTGTGTGTGGAGTAAAATGGTCTCACGGTTTTCAGGGCTGTGGCCTTTGGGAAGCAGACTGCCTTCCCTGTCACCAAAGGTGCCTGTGGGTGGTCTCAAGCCACCCCCTGCACCTAGTCACAACCATTTGTACCACCCATGGGCCACACGTGTGTGGCAGAGGAAATCAAACTATACACAATGATACAAAACACTAAGCACGCCATTCCCAGCCCAATGTCCGCCTTGCAACATGAGAACATGTCTTTGCAGTTTATGCCTCCTTCCTTACCCATTTTCACATCTCACTCTCTGAACATGTGGCTGCCCCTTCTTGTACACAGCAATGAGCTTTACCCACTCTGGGACTCCTTTCCTCTCCTACTGAAATTGGGAAATTGGCAGGCTTTCTTATCAATCCTGAATCTCTCCCTACCTCCCTTAAATCCAAACAGGAGCCCAACACAGGGGTAATGCGCGTACTTTCCCATTACTGCTATCAGAGACCAGGTTGCGCTAATAGACCCCTAGCCACATGTTGGCATATGTTTGCTGTGTGTGTTTAGGAAAACTCCGAGCAGTGGAACTCTTGGGTCACAGGACATGCACATTTGACAGATATTGCCACACTGGCCTCCCCAACTCTGCCCAGGAGACAGAGTGAATGTTTTCCTACGTTCTCGCTAGCACACAGAAGCCTTGGTGCTATACTGGGCTAGATGTTGGGCTGCTAACGACAAGGTCAGCATTTTGAAACCAGCAGTCACTCCAAGGGAGAAAGATGAGGCTTTCTACTCCAATAAAGAATTAGTCTTGGAAGCCCACAGAGGCAGTTCTACCCTGTCTCACAGGGCCACAGTGAGGAGGAACTGAATCACTGACGGTGAGTTTTTTTTTTTAAGAGCACACAAAATGTAAAAGCTTCAAACATTTTTAAAGCCCCTTCATCAAGCTTTTAATAGCTAATAACATGGCAGTCAAACGAGATACTGCATTTTTGTTGCTTTGCACCACAAGGTTCCACATCACTACCCACCCTGGCCACCCACCTCATCCCACCATATAAAGCCTGGTTTCTGATCTCTTCCACATCCCTCTGCAACTTAAAAATCAAGACAGATCCTTCCTGAGGAAAGAAGAGAATTCGGTGGTGAAACTATTTCCCTGTCTGAAAACGGAAAGGTTCCAACAAGCTCATAAAAAAACTCACTGCACGTTCTTGGACTTCTTTCCAAAGAGTACTGCTATTAAGTATAAGGATTACATAGCTCATGATTAACGGGTTTAGAAATTAAATGGCATAAGCATGTGTTGTTCCTAAAGAAAATTGCTTGATATAGAAGTTCAGGATGTGCCACGAAATCTACAAAGTCCTGGTAAATCCCTTGCCATAACGCCATGAGGAGATCTATTTCAATTACTACGCTGAGCACAAACACAAGGCAAGTTTCATGTGTTAAAAAGAACTGTGCACACCTCACCAAGAGCCTAGAACTTGTACGGTACAGAGGAAGAGGCGTGACTTGAATCAGATGTATTCTCCCCTTTCTGCTGCAGCAGCAGTAACTGAGGTTGGAAAAATGCCCACCTACCCTCCCTCTCCCCACATACACACTGATTTACCAAAAAGAGCCAAAACCCCAGCCTAACATGAACAGTGAGTGTTTTTCCCAGCATTTACCCCCATGTGACAAAGATATGTCTCTTAACAGCCATCTGGATTCCATCAACACTCTTCCAAGGGAATGGCCAGGCAGCTGTGGGTGCTGTGTTAGATCACCTATCCTCAAAAGGCATCACCCTGCTCTGCAGACCTACTGCACACTAACCCTTTACAGTGGGAAGATTTTCCTCTCTCTGCAGCCTGATGCCCAGATCTGAACACAGCTGTGTAGCTCCCCACAGGTGTCCTCACACACAATACAGTCCATTAAGTCCATTCTGACTTATAATCTTGTTCCCTAAGGTTTGCGAGAGTGTAAATGTTTAAGTGGGCAGAGAGCCTCATTGTTCTCCCTCGGAACCCTTGACCATTCTGTTAGCAGCCCAGCGCCTAACCCAGAGTGTCCCTAATTATTGAGCACATCGTAAGTGTGCAATGAGTGCTCTATGTCTATCACTTAATCCTCACAATAACCTCAAGGAGTCAGTATCCATTTCACAGACAGAAAAAGAAAGAGAAAAACAAAACAAAACCTGGTCTGAGAGAAGTCATGCAATGCCACGGAATGAGTGCAGAGCTGGGTTTCAAACCAGGAGAGTAGCCTGCGCTGTAGGCAGTAATGTCTCCTCCTGTGAAACCCAGTAGGAAAATACATGGATTCAGAAGTCCAACATTCCAGGCTATGGAATATTCCAGAAGAAGAACGTGAAGAGTCTCAATGCACCACAAAGAATTTATGAACAAGCTTGAGTTCCCTAAGAGTTGAGGTCAATATATCAAAATGAAAGAGTTCTGTGTTTACTCTGGTTTAATTGCGTTGCCTTTTGGGGACGGGGAAGGAAGGGAGAGGAAGAGAGAGAGATAGGGATGGGGTTTGGGCTTGGGTTTGTTTTAGAGACTACAAGGCACATAAGTTAAATTTTTCTTGAGTAGCATCAGAAAGTTCAAGCCAGAGCCAGAGAAGCAGGCAAGACTAAACAGCAGAGTTTAGGTTACGTCAAGACAGGGCTGAGGGTAAGGACAGCATGGAAAAAACAAAACAAAACCAGAAGGCACAGAATCAAAGAAAACCCGATCAAGTCTATTCTTGATAGGTACATTTTTCACTTAAAAGGCATCTCTGTGTTCTCAGTATGCCTGGCTCCTCTCCTAACACATTTAAAGTTCAAGCTATTTATCATGGTGAGCGAACATGGCTTGGGAATGACACCGCTTTGCTGACTTGTGTAAGGGGAAAATGAAAGGGACTCTTTGCATCCCTGGAGTCCCGGACAAGGGATTCATTTGAGAGGTTCGGGGCACGAGATTGGCTGCTGGTTCTGAGAGATGTGAGAAGTAACGAATGAGCGATGCCATTTTGCTGAGAGCATTACGTGCAGCATCAAAAGCCTTATGTCAGAGCCCCACAGCTGAGTTATTTCACAACTCAACCACGCATTTAACACAGGCATTCCTTGGGAGATACGGGAAGCATGGGTGTTGCATTCTACTTCCATTAATGAGCACTGTGGGCACACGCCGAGGCTCAGCTTGCCTTTTAGTGTGCTCCCCACGACCTGCCAGATGACCCCGGCTGCAGTGCAGAATCCACGTATGTCTCCTTGTGCTATTTCTCCTAATCTGGACAAGTTTTAAATAACAACTAACAGAAAAACACCATGACAGACACCTACATATGGTGGTGTTAGGTCTTCCTCTACACGCATGCAATTCTTACCAGAGAGCACATAAATGAGAATCTACAGTAATACGTAGTACAGTCTGTCTGGATAGTACTTCAACTCCTTTTTAAAGTGAAAAGAAAACCTATGGCATCCTCTGTGATAAGCTTGTAGGAGACGTGTGTGTGCCCAGGAGAATGGGCACATCTTTCTCTCCTTTTGGTGTACAGAAACCAAACACCACCTTCACTGCTATCCCGGCTGTAAAATACTGGGTTTCCTAACAATCACTCGGCTATTGGTGCCCCTTTCTTTTCCTTTTTCTGGTGTGGCAAGACCAGAGGTCGAGAACAGACTGATCTTCGTGGCTTATTTGGCTACAGAAGCTTCTAAAAGATCTAAAGGCTATGTGAATCTTAGTTTATCAAAGTTGTTCCTTAAAACTGCCAATAATGGGTGGGGGAGCAGAGTGGTGACAGTAAACTATCTGTGTTAAATGGAAAAGCATGTTCCAGAAGAGAAGTTGGAAACGAGGAGCTCAAGTTCTCAGCCAGGCAGTCCTTTCTTTAACCTCGCCACATGCCGTTTGCTCCCTTCGCCCTGCGCCAAGGAGCTGCAGGACAGCAGGACTCTCCCAGCAAGGAGACTTCAGAGCAGCGCCATGGCACCCAGACTACCAGTGAAAGCACGGAAATCACAGTGTGCAAATTTTCACTACAATTCTTAAAAATACTACATACAAATAAATGACAAATAAAAACTCACTGC